TTTTTTTTTTTTTGCGTTCCATATTTTATTTGCTGCAGTATTTTTTGTTTGCGTTGCATTTTTTTATTTGCTGCGGTACTTTTTTCTTTGCGTTCTGTTTTTTTTATTTGCTGCAGTATATTTTTATTTGCTGCAGTATATTTTTTGTTTGCGTTGAGCCTTCTGGGTCACCGTATAATTGCAATAACGTTGTAATAGGAAAAAAAGCAAAAAGCCAAATAGGAATTAATTAGGCACGTGATTTACATTTGCGTATTTTAATAATTTGACAATTATTTAAGAAGTCATTCACAATAACAAGACATAACTCTGTAATTCCGCGATTGGAATGACACCAAGAAACTGAAGCGTGTGTGTTGTGAATGTTGCAAGCAATGATAATTAAAGGCTGATTAATTCCTATTTGGCTTTTTGCTTTTTCTATGACAACCTTATTGCAATTAGGTGTAAATATATCTTCACTCTAAAAGCTTCAACAATTCATCAATTTGGGCTCATCTGTAACCCGTGAATCAGCAATAGAACGTCAGTGTATACCTCAGCTCAAACTTAGTCAAAGGGCAGATGCGTATCGATAAAATTTTGATCAGCAAACTTGATAGATGTTGCAACCAATAAGAATATCGAAAAATCCCCACCCGGTTTTGAAGACCAACCCCTCAGGATTGAAATTGTGATGATAATAACATGGTTACATGTGAACTCTCCAATCACTTCTTAATTCCTTAAACTGCACGTATGTAACCTGAAGGCCACAGTCAAAGGGCCAACTAGATAACGCTCTGTGAAAATAAATTGATTCAAACACGCCATATGTCGAGCTCTTATAGACTAATATTCCCACTGAACCAAGGCAAACCTAACCAATGACGGAACAAATATCAATTGTCAACTTATCGTCATTACTACTCCTTTCTCCCAGTGAGGAGAATAGTGTCAGAAAGTTCGGCGACTTATTAATGTCGAGTATTTTTTCTCTTTCTCTTTCTCTCCGCAGTGAGAGGAACTTAGAAGATCATGAAAAAGACCTCTGTCAGCAGATACCTTCGATAAAGGTTTCAGAAGAACATAAGGAATTTTCGAATCGCTAAGTAACATTTATCACTCGTGGAAACATTTTAAGATTCTGAAGAGGCTTAGCAAACAAAAATTGTTGCAACACTAACTATATCAGTTTTGGTTTTTTTTTTTCTTCGAGTGATCTTATATACAAAAAGGTAGTAATGCTTACTACATTTAGTTTTTGAAAATCATAAAGCATGCCATTCTTTAGTTTGGAAGTGAGTTAAGGAATTAAAATCGAAATACTGCAGATTATACCTTTGGGTGATAGTGTTGAACTTGTATTTGACGGAATGGTAGTTCAAAGTTTAATTAAAATTCTAGAATCATTAATGAGTTAACTATTCTGATTTATTCCCACTCCTCTACTAAAGAACGTCGTAACGCAACGATCAGAAACAGCGTGAGTTGTCGTGAAATTAAAAGTAAGTTTAATTTCCACAAAAATGAAAATAGTTGAACACGCTGCGCTTACATCAGTTTTCAGTTTAGTCTGGATAGATGGCTGAAGCTCAGACTCCTCTGTATTAACTCTAAATTTTTCAAGTGTACTTTACGAATCAAACTTAACACTAATGATCTACTTATTATGAAAATGACTCTTAAACTTGGAAAACTGGAAACTTTTCGCAAACATGTAAATTCGTCTTTCCTAAAATGTTATGTCTGCACTTGTTATGTAAATTCACTGGCACAGGAAAAACAATATTCGCTGGAATATATTATGAGACATGTTCAGCCAATCAGATAAGAGCACTTGTCTTCGTAATGGTTACAATTCAACTCTACCCACAGCATGAACTCAGTTGGTATTGGCCGCTTATTCTGTTTCATACCTTTCAATTTTCAAATATCAGCATGGTTCCGTGCTGTGGATCGCTTCGGCAAAAACGAGGCGATTAATATATTCACTAAGAGGTTTAGGACTAACATGAATCACAATTGAAGCTTCACCTTAAATCTCAGCGATATGGAAGATGGCAGCACAACATAACTTTATTGGTCATTTCTTCGCGTTTCTAAGTTTCCAAAGTGATCCATTTATGCCAACAAGAGGGAGATTTTAGAAAACGATTGAAGGAACTACGAGAAAGAAAGCTTCCTACGATCAGTTGGATTATCCTTCATTTCGTATCCACCACATCATCTAACTTCTGTTTTCCAGAGGAAATATCCAAGTTGGCGGCTATGGCTTTCGATATCAACTAAACGGAAGAATATACCCTCAACGGCCAGGTTGGATTTAACAATGGAAGTCAAACATCTTTAATTAAAAATTTACTGACTCATCTAATTGTTATCGTTTCCACTTCTTGAACAACGACCGCCGAAACCATCTTTAAGATCGAGATCTCAATCGGCTCGGTGACCTGTTAAGTAAAACATGTGGATTGCTTACTCAATTTTTTTTTAAGGAGTGCGGGGACAGTGTTGGTCGAAATGGAATCTCACAAGTCGCTTTTCGAGGTTGGGAAACGTGGAGGAAGGATAACATTCAACGACCCAAAATAGATCCACAAGTAACAAGGCCACATTGGTTGGAGAAGAACGTACTCTCCCATATTGACAGGAACTTAGATCTTTCACAACAGAACCGACAATGACTGAAAATGAAATTTTTGCAAAGCTTTAATCTAGTGCAATAGGGTTCTTTATTTTCTCGCGTCTATGTTGTCGTCAAAAAGATTATTTGAGAAGCCATGGGCTGTTCGAATTCTTGTTCCCAGTCCCACACACTCCCAAGAGACCTTTCGTCCGTCCTTGTAAAGCAGAGAGCAAAACATCAAGAAATCAACTCCAAGGTGAGGTTAATAATTGCTACCAAATCACAATTTTTATAAGAATTTCTTAAATTCAGACTATGTTTCTACAGTTTGACACCTTTAGGAGTTAAGCCATTCACATCATGTAGACATGCTCTACCTGGGTTCCCGACTCGATTAAATCTTGTTTTTCACGCATTGAGAGACTGCTAGTTGAAGAAACCACATCGTAGTAAGCCAACAGAGATCCCGTCAGTTTTAAGTAAATTCCAGATCAATTTTGGCGAGGGAGCTCAATGTTGAGATCGCGAACGCAACTTGCTGGATACCTAACCTCAAAGAATGCACACATTCGGCTTCGGTTAAAATTGCTGCAAATATGAACATAGCTTCACTAATTATAAGTTTACTCGCGGCTAAATGCTCCTTGATATCAAACTGAGTCCATTGCTCGGTTGTACTTTGGAGGTAAGTTTGATAAAACGTAAATAAAGCTCTGACCTATTGAAAGGAAACCAATTGTATAGGGTTTGTGTGCAGGGAAAGCAAAACAATTTATATGAATAGATTTGTAGTAAGCTGTAATTCAATTGAGATAAAATTGTGAAAGAAAACCAGCCTTGATAACGTCAGTTCATATACTTAACAATTATTCCACGAGCGCGCGTTGGCTATAATCATCTCATATCCAACAAGCGCGAGTGGAATAATTGTTTTATCAAAAACGTTAAATTAAATTATTAAATTTCATTAAATTTACCATATTTGTAGATTATGGTACATTGGCTGATATACCATAATGGCTACGCCAATAAAAAGCCTTGAATTGTATTATACAATGATCTAGTTTTTAATAATCAAAGTTTATACGCAAATAGTTTCTACAAAAAGATACGTTCTTGCACAAATACTGATTCTGGCTTTGTTTTAGGCTCCTGGTCTAAAGTGAAATGGAATCTCCGCCTTCACTAGTAAGTCTCGAATACAATGCACGACGCAATGTGTAAATAAATCATACGTCAGTATAGCTCAAAAAACACATCGTTGAAGGAAAAAAGCAGATACTTAAGCGAATACGATCAAATAAATTGTAAATACTCATATTTGTCAGAGTCTATGCGTCACTCAATTCCTTAAAAGTTTAATATCTAATTTTCGACTCGTTTTTGTTATGATTTGGTACTTAGGATAGAACTAGGTAGATTAGGTTTTAAGTATGTTTTCGTTACAATATATACACAATTATTTCTCCTTACCTGATTCTTTTCAACAGATATCATTTGCTATTTTTTTTTCAGCATATGCATTTTGTTTTCCTTTTTTTGTCATGTTTAATTTTTTTAGTCTTAGTTAAGAGGGAAGCTCATGGTCAAAAGCCCCATGGTTTCCAAATGAGCCTTCTGCCGGAAATAATAAATGTTGTTTACATTTAAAGATATATATATATATATATATATAAAGCAAACCATATATGTTAGTGAAAACTAACTATCCTTTTTATTTGGTGAGTAGAGCGTTGATCTATCAAGAATTAAGAAAATTTATTTGAATATCTTCAAACCGGACAGTTTCTTTCGGATCTGACATTTGAGTAACACGATAGTACAAAATGGAGGTGACTTAAATTAATTGCTAACTAGCACAGAATCATTTCCTTGTAACCTTTAATTCCTTCACGATGTTTCTACACCACAGTGTCCAGCGAGTGTACCTATGGAGGGGAGGAGTGGCAATGATCCACAAGCGAGGTGAGAATCGTTTCTTGATGTACCAAATTTTGTTTTGTACATCACACATGATCAGAGACGCCAATTTGATTGTAAGAAAGGCACAGGAAAGAAACACTGGTTACAGACCATTTTACTGTTACGAATATAGGCTACGTTCTTGACAACGTAAGAGAAGACTACGTTCGGTTTAGTTTGGTGTCGTTCAGTCTTTTTCTATGTAGTTGGTGTAAATTGGGGCATTTTTGGTGTCGTCGAGGTAGTCTGCTGAGTTTGGTGCAGTTTGACCTAGTTTGGTATCATTGGTGTATATCATGATCAGGTTTGGTGGTCATGATTCACTTTTGGTGAAGTTCGGTGAATTTTTAGTTGATGTATTTGGTGTAATTTGATGTGGTTGGCGAAGGTAAATGTAATCCATGTAGCTTGATTTTCTTTGTGTTGTTGGTATGGTTGGTGCAGGGCCTTACAAATGTTTGAAGCTATCAAAGGTTAACATTGATAATCAACCGAGTAAATAGCGTTTGTAAGAGGAGCAGCCACAGGGGAAAGAGAAGACAAAATCATGAGAACTAACATTCGCGTTTGATCTGATTTTCAGTGTTGGTATGCTGTCTGGAATTCCAGACAGCCTCTCGAGCTTGACTGAGGTAAGCCATGTTCTCCTACAATGAATTAGATGTGAAGAACAATCAGTTGAGTTTTATGGAAATTGGTTGACATCTCCTGACTACACTTTTTTCATTTTTAAACAACAATCAGTTGAGCAGAATTTTTTCTACACAAATCCTTTTACTTAGATGGTTTTAAGAACCTAATAATTTGGGCTCGTGTTTACCCTCAATAATGAAACATTAACGTGCACCTCAATTCAAACTGAGTCAAAAACTAGATCATATGCTCTACACGTAAAAGGAAATTCCCTTACTCGTGCTATTCCTCTATTTGTTTTCGAAATCAGAATAGTTCAGGAAACCCTCGTTCAAATGGGTGTTCAAGCAAGAATTCGAGGTAAGTCCCTCTTACTAAACACTCATTTATTCTGCAAGTTCAACTGATCAGGTGTAATAATATGAGTATCAATGTTTTCAAAAGGTCAATTTAAAAGCATGAAATCAACGAAAAAAGAAATGCTAATATAGATCAAGATCTTTTACTTTTGTTTTCCTCTCCTTTTATTATTTTATGTTCCTTTCTTTCGGAGACAGGGTGGTGAGAAGACAAGTCTTCATCGAGACTATACGAATACGAGAGTGGTTACTAGTTTAGGTGGGTACGGAAACATGACTTAGAAACAGGATTTGACTACAATTTATTGATTAAACCCACGCCGGAAATCATCAATTAGAGAGACAATTATGATGATAGAAGCGTATTTACACCTGAAATCTCCAATCAGCTCCTCATTCCTTACAGTGCACGAGGCCACCTTCAATAGGCCAGCAAATAAAGGTCTGTGACAATCAATTGATTCGTACCACGCCATATGTTGAGCTCCGAGAGGCTACTCAAACAATTTGATGCAGTTTAGTATAACGTAGTGTAATTGATGTAGTTCAGGGAAGTTTGGTGTAGTTCGGTGAACTTTGGTATAGTTTCGTGTGGTTGATGTACTTTGGTACTCTTCATGTTATTCGTGAGTTCGGTGTAGTGTAGTATAGTTTGTGCAGTATGATGTAGTTTGTATTGGCTGGTGTACTCGGCGTGCGCTGGTGTGGTTTGGTGTAGCTTCGTGTGGTTTGGGACAGTTGGATGCACTCGTTTTGTTTGGTGACGTGTAGGTTGTTGTTACTCCTGTAGTTTGGTGCAGATGGTGAAGTTGACTTGGGTTTGATTTTGGTAATTATATCAATCAGATGTCAATATACACGAGACTTGACTTTACAAACAGAAACATGCGCGATCTCTGTCTTACTTTATTCTTACTGCAATAGGAGCAAAACTTTAACTATGTACGTGTAGTCCTCGATTTAAAATCACTCTTCGGGCAAACGCCAAGTATTAACCCATCCTCAAACAGAACGCACTACACTTTGGTTTAAGTTCTTCTCGCTGTCTTCGTTCATTATGACTGTTGCTCAATCAATAAAGGTGATATCATAACTAACATTTTCAAAAATAATGAAAATATTATCACCGCAAGTCTTCCGTACTTGCTAGCCTAGTGCGGGTTCTATTTTCGACGACTTAGTAAGGCTGTAATGTGTATGATTTGTCTGATTTCTTTATTCTATTTCACAGGCAACTCCAACTGACAGAGCGGGAAGAAACGAAAGCGAAGTAATAGGAGTGATTGTATGTCGTTGAGTTTTCATGATAAGTTTCTAAAGGGTTTTCCACATAAATATAAATTTAAGCTGTAAATGTAAAAGATTTGTAAAGAATTTGCTCCATTAAATGAATTTGCTCCATTCAATTTTCTCTCAGATCTTAAGAGTTTTCAGCTGCGTATAAAATGAAAAGATCTCACACGACGGCGAACACATCTCATCAAGATGGAGTTCGTTACCTCCTCAAACGTTCAATATGAAGTCGTTGTTTACTTACATGTTTCACCCTTGTGATCTGAGAGAATGTGCAAACTACAAAACGTTCTACTGCGATTACTTCTTGCTTTGGGGAGCCAAAAGAAATGGAAACTCAAGTAATCGCCTCTTAAAATTTATAAAAGTATGTGGCGCCCCAACAAAACTCTTGCTTCCATTACTTTATTTAGCTTTTGTTCTTTACAAACTAAACTCAGCAATTAACCAATGAAATACGTCGAAGCAGCCCATCAAAGTATATGATTGGCTGAAATCAGCGTGCTTGAAATTAGCATATGCTTGTTTTAGTAGAGTACACAGCAAGATGAAAACGCTTGAATGCGTTTTGGGCACAAAAAGCAAATGACTGAAATAGATTCTTGATAAAAAAAAAAAAAGATTAAATAAGCATCGAGTGTTCAACGGCGAACGTCTTGGGTCTACCCCTACTTGATTTTCGCGCCTTCGCTACTTCCTGTTTGCTTCACATCAGAACGGAGAAACGTTAAGGTTTAACTTATTAATTTAAGTGCCGTGAGACAATGACTACTTCAAGAGCCCAAATCGTTCTTGTTTCAATTGTCTCTTAAAAAATTTAACCCCGTGCACTTACATCGTCCTTGTCACTACAAGGCCCTCATAAAAACAAGACAGTTTTTCAGTTTGAGGCAGACGTCTAACGACCAAACATCTTCAGTGTGGTCAAAAAAGTGTTTTGATCGAAAATGAGCATAAGCTTTTAATTAGGGGCGTTGGAACCAGAATTCTATTGAACGAGCGTTCAATGATATTAACAGCCGACTGAATTACTACGGCTAATGACACGCATAAAACTGAAAACACTGCGAAATGGATACCTTTTGCATAACATATTCATAGCAATAAAAAAAAAACAGTAAAATAGTCCAAAGGGTTTAGCTTGTTGAGTTCGGTTTCAAAGCTAGCTAGAGAAGGAGAATCTCTATCTTATTTACGTAATTTTCACTCTCAGAATGGTTCCGGCTCTGCATCCGATGGCGTGTTTGCCAGAGAAAATAGTACAAAAACGCGTTATCAGAAAATCAATGTTACGAAGCGAGTGTGTAGAATCTTTGGGGACGTAAAGGCCGGAGACGCCCAGACCAACACCAATGCAACACCCTTCTTGGCCCTTTACGTGAGCACTGCAATGTCTTGTCGACGTCTGCTTTAGCGTGGGCAGATCCCCAAGGATCTGGGATTTTTGGGCTGGTCCTTGCATTCATTCAACATTCCTATTGTCCTACGATTTAAAAAAAAAAAGGCTATATTGAGTGGCAACGAATTAAGTGAAGGAGGGAAAAAAGTTATAAATCTAGATTAATTATAGGGTCCATGGTCTAGGAGACATTACATTACCCTGTAACCATACTGGTAAGGGGGGGAGGGGGTATCTTCATCGTCTTGTATCGCGGAAGTGTTTATGGCGTTTCACCCCGTCTAAAAAACCTACACACTCTCATTCGCTTTACCATGAAGAAGATAAAAGCGTCTACCTGACACAAAAGTTTTAAGGGAGCCGGACGGGCTTCATTACTACTTTCCTGCTTATGCGCACTAGCCTTGTTCCACAACACCTACAAGCACATCAGTGGGACCAGATGACCTACGCAGGACGGAATCAAAGAGCATGATCGAGACAAGCGTGTAGCTCGTACCCAGACCCACGCCGTTTCGTAACACGCTCCAAACACCAGACACCGCTTGCTTTGTAACAGAAGACTACGTCACCACTAACATAAACAGGAACCCTATGCACATTCACCCACACCACCTAAAGGCACATCAGTGGGACCAGAAGACCTACGCAAGACAAAGTCAAGGAGCATGATCGAGACAAGCGTCTAGCTCGTGTGCTGACCCTCGCCGTTTCGGGGCACGTTCAAAACACTACACAGCGCTCGCCTTGTAACGGAAGGCTACGTCATCACTAACATAAACAGGAAGCCTCTTCACACTCGCCCACACCAACTTTAGGCACATCGGTAGAACCAGGAGACCTACGCAGGATAGAATCAAGTGGCATGATCGAGACAAGCGTATCGCTTGTACGCAGACCCCTGCCGTTTCGGAGCACACACAAAATGTCAAACAGCGCCTGCTTTGTAACGAAAAAAAATTAACTAGTCGTGATCTTCACTGTTACAAATGCAGGCACCAAAACGCGATTTATCCTGGTAGACTGACAGCGATAGTAGAATAGAAACTTCACAAGTGTGGGATGGCTATGATCAAAAACAAGAGAAACAAAAGGGCCGTTAGAGAGCGGACCGCTGACCCAGTCCTCCATCCCACATTTAAGAATTTTTTTCTGAGTTGTCACGCAAATTTCGTGCATGAATTCGTTGTTCTGCACAAAGCAAACGTGGTTGCTGTACGTCGTAAGCCATTGAAATAGAAGAGTCGAGGAAACAAAGAGCCGTTTGACAGCTGAAAGCTGACCGCTGACCTAGTCCTTAACCCAATTTTTGAGATTTTTCTGGTCTGTCACGCAAACCTTGTCCCTAAACTCGGTTTTATGCAAAAAGCAAACGTGATTGCCGCACTTCGTGAGCGCGAGTGCTATACTTGAAGGCGTCAAACTGAAACCGCCTTACGAATCAAAGACCTCTGGCAAAAGAACGAAGGTAAGAGGATTCATCACAATTCATTTTAGTTGAGTTCGAAGTTCTTTTATCACGCTACGAAGTTGTGATATCTAGAATCTGTTCCAAAGGTGTGGCAGGCTAGGAGATGAAATTAACATGAGTAAAGTCTGAGAGCTATTTTAGCCTTGCAAAACATATTCTTACTACTTATCAGTTGTAACCCCTGTGATTCTTAAAACATCACTAAAATGTCCAGGCTTTGACTACTCATAGTAAAGTTTGGATAATCAAAATTTAACCCCGAACGAAAAAGGCTAATTCAAGACAGTCGACAATGTGTATCTAGGCAGTGCAATTGACAAATCGACATACAATCATGCAGATTTCAGGTTGATGATAAGGGTAGACACCGCGTGCGGTTTTTCTTTTAATTGTGTGTCTACAAACGTCTGTGTATTCGACTTTATAACTGCAAGTGGGGCAAAGGAAATCGAAGTTAATCAACTGATTTACGTGACGGAAGCAATCGTTAAAGCAGAAAATATTTTTGAATGAAAGTGACTCACAACTATTGCAAGAAATTGAGCAATATATCGTGGTTTGTCATTAGAGAGCAGGTCAATTCTTTCCTAAAGTCCAAGGTTGAGGCAAATAACTGATCTACGGGCAAAATACCACAGACAAATAATGTTATGCACAAGCAACCATCAACTATGCGCAGTTCATTGCAAATCACGTGGTGGATCCTTGGCCAATGAAAATGGAGAAAACAAGTCATCGTTTAGTAACATGCTTAGTATGTGTTTTACTAGAAATAGCTTAACCTAAAACGAATTGGTAAAAAAGAACCAGAACTAAGATAGACTTCAATCACTGACAATTGTGGAGACCGCGAAGTTAAGAGCGTCTTTACGAGCATAAGAGTATAAAATATATCAAATACCCATTATTTTATTACTACCGATCTTCTGTTTCAGAAAATTATGACGTCCATACCAACACAGGTAAGCTTTGCAAATTCAAGCCCCTTTCATTTACAGCTCCTTTAATAAGGATGCCCCACGAAGGCTTTTAGATTTAGTCACTAATAACTAGCTGTTTCACTCATCTGCTCCTCTGCCATATTCTCAAGCTGATGCTGCTTTAATAAATGTGAAAATTGGAACGATCACCATGAGTGTGTCACAATGTGTTTCTCCACAGAAATACCATGGCATTTCGCAAGATGAAAGGATAAGGTACAAACGATGATAGCAATTATAGTACAACTATAGCCTTGTAAAGTTCGTTTCAACTGCATATGTTTTCACTGAAATAAGAGCAGCAACATAAAAGTGAAAGCCTAGGAAAAATCTCAGCCAAGGAAATATGTGGCGGCTACTGCAAAGACGCTCACACAGTGGAAAATATATGAGGAATATTTTTTCCTGAATTGAAGGATGCTAAATAATAGCCCATGACAACATTCTGAATACAACTACTTATCCACCATGTCACTTGCGTCATGGAAAGTGCTTTGCTAACAGGAATCATATCTCTTTCAGAGACCAAGAAATGGAATACCTTTTGCATACGGAAGGTCTAAAGATACGATCCTTCATTCTCCAACATGTAAGATATGAATACACTGAACTCAAATTTTAAAGGATGAGTAGGAGCTTACAATGAGTCTCCCTAAGCTGCATACTTTTTATCTTTGATTATAAGGTTACTCAAAGGCTTCGGCCAGAACTGAAAATCGCATCCAGCTGGTGAAACATGGACATATGTACCTTGCCCGGTATACATAATGAAGTAAAATAATAAAAAAAAATAAAAAAAAAAGGGAAAGAAGAAATTCAGTTCTGATCTGAGCGCAAGGGTAGAGGAACTGAAAGCATCAGATAGGAGTTGACGAGTTTTACGATTTACTTTCCGGGCAAAGTTAAGCGAACTATATGTAGCACAAAATATTTGTTTTGTTTTCAAGTGAGATGAAACAAGATTTATTCACAGTCTTCGTTACCTTGCCCTTTTCCTGTCGAATGATCGCCAAGATTTCCTCTTGAATACAATAGTTTATGTTCATATATCCTAATGAACCACTACACGCGAAACTCAGTATAATCAAACCAAGTGACAGAAATCAATTGGCTTTATTTGTTCACCGACAAAACTTGTGAAAGACAGGTTCCATTTCAACATTGTTATTTATTAGTCTACACATACGGACGGGAAACAGTTAGCTTGCAAGTCGATATTTGCTTACTATGACTTGTTGCGACAGATGGACGATTCACAGAATACTACTCTGCTACAGGAAAAAGATGAATTGCAAGTGTGCTTCGGTACCTTATGTCCTCTTCCAAGGAGATATAACTATGAACTGCCTGTTACTCCACAGTAAAACTGAAAACATTTGGTCTCACAAGAGAGTCGATGAGCTCATCAAAGCACCTTGCCTTCCCCTTGAAACGCCACAAAAACGTTCGTGATTCTAATGAATGCCTCCACAAGTGAAAAAAAACCTTCATGTGACAATAGCTTCGAAGCAAGAAAATAACTACAATTCAATGACTTTCACTCCATTCCCTGTCTCTCAATCTTTCTGAGAGTACCTCGACGCATGGCAGGCACATTTGCCCTTCGCATAAACGCTGACGTTGACATTGCAGGCGCACCGGCCATAATAAAACGTCGGCAGCCATTAGAAAAATATTTTCAAGAATTAAGTGCCACACAAGGTTTTACTTTCGATGAATATTCGCTAGATTTTCACGACTGCTGCTGCATTTTTTTTTTAATTTCTTATTGCAGAGGACTGGTGAATTGAGAGAAGCTAACATGGTTGTTCATAAAAGGAAAACACTCCGAGCGAAGGACACGATATCTAACAAAACAACAACAGGACAAAGTGTTGCGCGCCCTTAGTTACATCCAAATAAACGCCATGGGTACACGTGGCTTGGTGATTACTTCATTGAGCATGCAGACTCCCTCGGTTCGTTCTCAGCTGCTTACTTGTATCCTCTTTTTTCCTTGTTTGTAAGTTTGTTTTTTCCGAATTAAATGCCTACTTCCCTTTTTGTACTAACATTTGATCTCCGTTGTTTCTCTCTTTTCACTCCACGTGTTATTATTTGAGAACACAATTACCCTGTCAAGCAGGGAAAAACCCACGGTCGTCAAGTTTCGGTTTCGTTCGAGACAATCCTGGGGCCATTTATACTCTATGCTTCAAAGGAGGGCTCGTACCAGACAAAAACTACGTCAGTGAGGGCTAAAGCTGACCATTCATTGAATTCCGGCTGTGATTTGCTAAAAAGCGATACTAAAAATAAAAAAAATATCAAACATCACATGACCAAGGATTACCGTTGGTCACGCAAACTTCACAGTTTGTCTCTATTTTGTACATGATGGAAAAGGAAAACGCCGCAATCGTCTGTTGTATGGAAGGTATTGCAACCGGTTGGCTGAAAATGTTGTCTCAAGTTCTTCGCGAGGATTTGCACATTACGGTAGGTTAACTTAGAACTTAGCTCGAACGGTTGATGCCATGATTGCAATGGAAGAGTTGAACCTTCAAACGCGACCGTTGCAATCTCAAATGAAATTTCTCTCCGCGCGCTTTCACCTTTAACGATCCGTCGCCCTTTTATGAAAAAATCGGGACTCGTGGTCTGGCAACAATGGCAGAAAAACGAGCTTTAAAAGTATGGAAGCTAGACGCCAACATATCACTAGTTGTCGGGAGCAGTAGTTACTATTTCAAATATTGGCAAACCATACGTGACAATAAATAATTTCTTGAGATTCTAAAGTCAAGAAATAGGACTGCTAAGGAAAGCTGTAAAAAGGCAAAGTAAGAATGTTGAAACTGATAAAAAAAGCTCCGTGAATCACAAAAAATAAAGAAAAAGTTTGGAAGGAAGAGGCATACATATTTCAAAATAACACCAATACCATATATACAATAAAAGGTAAGTGAAGGTTCATTTATGCATTACACGAACGGTCATTTGCGTCACAATACAAGTGCTCTGAGTGATTCCTCCATTCAGCGTTCATTCCTCAACACACACTAGGAGTATTTTAGGGAGCATACAGAAGCTTGACGGTAAGTTGTATTTTGAAAGAAATTTTACCACTTAATAAAGCATCCTGCCGCAAGCTTCTTCTTACATATTAGCATTGAGCAACTTTCGCATATACTGGGGTGAGCCAAGTTGACCATCTAGAGCGCATAAACGCGAACGTTTGGGCGAAAGCAAGCTGCTAAGGGGTACTCGAAGTGAATTATAGCCATGCCATCCATCGTCTTAAAGTTATGAAGATTGAACTTGTTTACAAAAATAGTGTTACCTTTCACAGGAGAAAATAAATGGACAGAGAGATACAGAGAGCGGACGTAAGTAACAAGAACTCTATCCCAATTACCTTTTAGAATTACTCCAAGGCACCTCGATTCACTCCTCCTCACTTACCATTGCCAAACGCCCAATACAAGGACCAGCTTTAAAAAACCACTATTACAGTTACCGTCGCTATCCTGATAGCAACATTAGTATTTGATTCCTCAATTTGTTTTTGTTTGGTTTCTAAACCTCGTTAGTAATAGCAATATCGTTGAGGGAAATGTTCTCCTTTCATCTCTCACTAATCAAGATGAACACCCGATCGAAAACAAAGGCACTATTGTGTCTCCCTTCAGTTGATAGTCAGGCAAATGTAAGGCGATTTTGGTTCTTTGTACATGTATATCGAAATATAAATATTTGTAGAGCAAGAGAGAAGCGTAAGACTTGCTAGAGGTGCAGAGGAGAGCAACTTTAATGCCCAGCAAAATTCTAGAAGACAAGTGCGCGTCATGTAATAAAGAGATACCAACGCAAGCAAACATTCTCCGTTTGGGAAATAACCTCACATTTCAAACGTTACGTACCTTGAACGACACGTTTAAATTCCGATTAATATTTATCTTCCTGCGTAGCTTTTAACACTTAATTAACTCATGGTTTTCTAACTCTTTTCCATTTCAGCAGAGAAGAGATAAGAAGTGAGTAAGAGAGCATCTGTTTCTCAGTAGATATATTCTTAGTCACATGCGGTACATAACCGGATGAATTTTAAGTTCGGAAGGGGTAAGGTGCGTTATGAATCCAAAAAATAAGACTTCATGAGGCAACTTAGGAGAAAGTATACCATTAAATTTGCAAGAACTCAGAGAAATAACCACACAAAATTATTCACAGTAGGAACTTCGAAAAATAGCAAGTATCAATAGATTTCCATTTTCTTGTGGCAACATCAAGACCTCTACAGATGTGTAAAAACAAATTTGTTTCATGATCCAAAAAAAGGACAGTCGGTTACTGTTATCTAATCGCCATTTTTTTTTTTCATAACAGAATAAAGTGTCACCTATTGATATTCTGTTCTGAGGAGTTTGAGAAAATTCTAGCCTCAAGCCTGTTTCTACAATTTTCTTTACTGTGGTTACGACTGGTTACATTTTTGATATGCTATATCGATCATTTACCAGTAGCATCCACGCTTCTGCACCACTGAGGTTTATAACTTATTTGGTAACTAGAATTTTGGACATGGACTTACATTTGAGTGCTCTTTTTAGCGTTCCTCCATCTACGTCCAGGCAAGAAGAAATTCCATTTTCAGCCCAGGTTCCAATTGAAAGCCTAGAGGTAAGGATGAGATCTGTGTCATATATGAATGACAATATTCGAATTTTCTTGCATGATCAAATGAAGTTTAACCCTCCCCAACTTTCTCCTAGAAAAACCTCTGTTTGGCTAGGAGATCTCTATTTTATGCGTGGAAAGTACGTCTCCCTTAATGAAAATTACAGTTAGATATTGGTACAGTACTAAAGTACATGTATGCTAAACTGATAACAGTAAGATTATTTACTTGCTCGGTTACCAAAGTTTTTCTTAATATTTACCATATAAATTGTGGCATCTACTTCAGGGTCACATTTCTTATGTCACTGATAACAATTACCAAGTCATACTGTACATGCTACTTTTTCTGTTCAGATCAATCCTCAAAGAAATACCCATTCTTCCAAGTGAGTGCACCTGCTATTTGAGGGTGGCGTTTACCCATAATTTTGCTTCTTTGCATGGTGTTTAAGCAAAGGAGTAATTTACAATTCTGCACTGAGGTGCTGCACTGCCAATTCATTCAGGACTGTAATGAAGCTTTTAGCACCATTTTGGACAAATACACACTGCATTAAATCAAAGTTCTGTTCACTACCTCTCAGAGTTAACCCTTTAAACTTTAAAAGTGACCAGCAACTAATTTCTCCTTACAATATCACCCTGAATCAAACAATGAGGTTACAAGAGTAAAGGGGATTATCACCAATTAAAGAAGCTCTTAATAGTTAAACAAATTCTCCTTGCCAGCACCTAAGGAAATGTGTAGAACAGTATGGACAATATGCATACTAATGTTCGGGTGTAAAGGGTTAAAGAGACCTTTGCTAAAATTAGATTGACAATTTTGGGCATAAAACATCATGCACAGAATGCCTCAATGATTGCACAATGCAGATCTAATAAAAATTCAGCAGCATGTCAACTTGTTGGTTTTCCACATAGAATGCAAAGAAAACAAAAAATGACTTTTCATTAGATGATTTCAGTAATAGTTTTGTATGTAATTTTAACTTTATTAATAAAAAAATTTGGGGATGCCACACATGCCTTTTTCCCAGAATTGGTAGAGATCTATAGTCTGGCAATAATAATATCTAATTCATGAAAAGGTAATGAAAATTCAGGTGAATGCTGTTTATTTTTCATTGGTTAGTTGCAGGGTAAACAAAATGAAAAGGAAAGAAGGTTAGTGTTACTCTCGTTAATTACTGTAGCACCACAAACAAACCTCAGGTTTGGACACCATGAATCGAAAAAAGACAAGCATTACATGCAAAAATACATAACATACCATGCTCCTGACCACATCAGATAATACTGAAGTAAACATAATAACACAAGGTACAAATGTAAAAGTCTACAAATAGCGTCATGATAATGTTTCATTAGCCTCTAAATATTAGCAACTATGTTACAATAATTATTTGCTTGTTAACTAAATATTTGGAAATGTACTTACAACTGTGCTCCCTTTCATGTTCCCTTAGATTCAGGCAAGCTGGACATGACATTCCATTCTTGGCCCACCCTGGAAGTAAGAATGTTTGTTTATTCATGAGAAGCAATGTTCAAACTTTCACACATTGTAAAGTGAAACCCCTATTAGGACAGTGATCTCTATTTACAAGTACCTGTACAGCACCTTTCCAAGGAGCTATAAATCTTTGCAATCCTTTTATAGTAATTGCCACTCCACTGCATGCTGGTAAAATATACCGAAGGATGTAACTCAGGGTAATTCAATATTGATTTGTACTTTCACTTAAATTCAGGACTATCACAGAGTCTTAGGTATGGTTTGCTTTGAATGTTGCGTGATTAGAAAAAATGCACAGTTGATTGTAATAAATAATCATTGGAATAAATAATCATTGGATCTGCATTGTTGATCTGTGTAAAAAGTGAGGATAAAAGAAACAAAAAGCAAAAAACGACATTTTCCAGATGCATGATTTCAATTCAAGTAATTCTCACAAGTCTGCAGATTAAGCTTGCCTTTCTATGTGTTGAAGCTTTAAAATATGTATACAAGACAGCAATTGAGAGGGTGGTGATGATTTTGCTGATGAATGATCCAAATTTCATTCTCCAGTTACAGGATGAAATAAGTGAATACCAAGGAAGGTGAGACTTATTGTAAAATCATACTTAAATCAGGTGATGATCTTTCCAGCTCAAGTTTACTCATGGTCTTATAGACAATATATGTTACACCAAAAATTTGAGTCAGATACAATGAAAATGTATGAAGTTCATATATTTTGAACTGTGGTATTAGATACATATGATGCATGATCCTCGCAGCAGAGAGNAGCGCTGCACTAGTATCGCAGAGGTCAGTGGTTTGAATCCCATACAGGCCTGATTTTTTTCAGGTCTGATTTTCGCTATTGCTTAAATAGCGCTATCTACTGCGAGGATCGTGCATCATATGTAAAAATTTGAGTGATACAACATTATCCTGACTGACTCTTTATCTATCAAATAGACGACTCTTTATTCATATCACATGAAAGTCCATGGGGGCTTCATGTCATATAAACCAAGAGCAAATACTCTTAGCTCACTGGCTTTATCGAAAATCTACTGGAAACTTGCAAATTAACAAAACAGGCTAAGGTTTTGAGTGAAAATTGATAAAAATAGGTTGCAATAATGAAAAGGCTTCTCTATGCATCTATTTATTTCATTTCTTGTCTAACTGAAGCTGCCCTTCACCAAAATAATAGCTGACAAGTTTCTTTTACATAGTATGACCACTGATAAAACTAAGTCAAGTTATCTGTTTTGCTCTTTTTTGGACAGCTCTCCGGCAGTATCATCTAAATTCTTTTGGCTTACAAAACATTCTGAAATTCAAAAGATTAAACATATTTGACAGAAATGAATACATGTGTGAAGTGAAATATAAATTCACTCAACTGTCCATATTTAAAAAGTGAAAATGACTCTTTTTAAACCTTGAAAAATACTAACTTCATATTTCACTGCTATATTTGTCTCCTGTGTAATCACTTTGACTTGAGTATTATCCAAATCTTTGTTTAAAAAAAAAATAAATAAAAACCTGAAGCAGCAGCTTCAGCTAAACAGTTCAAAGAATTGTTCAATCAGTGTCTGAATCATTTACATCAACCAGCGCCTGGTTGGCTCAAGTGGTAGAGCGCCAGACTGCCGTGTGGGAGGTTGAGGGTTCGAGCCCCAGATCAGACCAACACTCAGGGTCTTAAAACAAGTGAGGAGAGTGTGCTACCTTTCTATTCTACCGAGAAATGGATAGACATTCTAGTCTTCTTGGATAAGGACAAAAAAACCATAGGCCCAGTCTCCTGTATCTTCTCTGTACTGGTTAGGAGGGAACATTAAAGAACCCACACACTTATCGGAAAGAGTGGGGAACATAGCCCCCAGTGTTGTGGTCTGATAAGTTCATGCAAATTGTTAAATTCAGCTGGCTTTTAATTTTTCAATTTTGTCACCAATATTTTTCTGATACAACTTCACCAAACAGACAACCAAAGAGCAGTGCTTTTCACAGCATGCTAAAGAAAACCTGCTCAATATGCCAGCCATTCTTTTTGCTCACACCTCTGAGCAGATCCAAACTTTAGGCAATCTGAATGCTCTTGTTTTTTTCCTATTTTTGTACTAAATTACCCTTTTATGTACTAACTTGAAACCCATTTCTGCATCATGTTTCCTACATTTCTCTTAGCCAATAAGAATCAAGAATTTTTATTATTTGTATAAAAAAAGAAATTGAGGGAAAAAAAACAACAATAAAGGACCTGGAACTACACTTTGTTTTCCAATCAGTTTCTTTCAATTTCATGATATCAATTCTCTTAAAAAGGTTACCATAATAATGGTGCATGTGTAATCTTTCTTTATATGAATGCAAAATGTAGGATTAGGTAGAAATGGTCTGAAATTCCCTAAACCTGCAAACCACAAATCCATAAACATAATTGATGCTTCAAGGGGGGATACAGAAGACATATGCTTGATTCAAGTTTTATCAACAATAGTTATTGGTCCTCTTTATAGGCCATAAAACAAACAGCCCTCTGATAAAATGTGTATGCTAGATTCATAGTTATTTACAATACTATGAATATTTATGGTAATTTTCTTCAATCTAAATGGCTAAGAGAAATGTAGTTTTTAGGTGGCACAATACAGAGGAGAGGCAATTGATTGCAGAGAAGGGAAATTCGGTATACAAGAAGGTAACAACCTTTGGTTTTGAACCTTTTAAACAGCTAAAATAACTTAGAAAAAAAGTTTAAAAACTTTTACATGGATTGAACAGTTATTTTTCCCAAATGCTCCAAGGAATTTGCAGGTTTGAATCAATTATTTTTGCACATGATTCATATGTTTTGCCCCTACATAATTATACAAAACTCTGAAATTTTTGTGTTCGTAACATTCACCTATAATATTACGATTTTTCTCAAGCAATTTGGAATGAATAAGCCACTATAAATTTCTTCAAAAGTCTTTGAAAAAGGTACTTGTTTATTTCATCAAATAGTAAACAAACTCAGGAGTTATAGAACAACTGTAGAAATTCTTGTGTGCTCATAGGTTAAGAGACACAACCCTCAACAGTCCACGCTTTTGATATGTTTTGTACACCATTTGATACCAGTAACAAGTTATAATTAAACAACAAACATATGAAATACATATATATGAACTGCGGTTATGAAACGTATATGTGCACGATCCTTCGCAGTAAAGCACTATTTAAGCAATAGTGAAAATCAGACCTGATTGTGGGTCAACTGTCTCATTTGTCAAAAATAAACCAGTTATGTCTTAGCTTCGATGCCAGTTAATTGATGGTGTATTTTCCTCTTCTGTTGATCAAGTCATGCAATTTGTCGAAAACAAATGCTTCATTACGCCGACATGAAAAAACAACGTATACTATAACCTTACTGAACATATAAAAGACGTCAAATATGAATGTTCAAAACTTTGCAGTGAAACCACTCAACTGCACCTTGTGCTTTCACTTTTGTTTTGAACATTGTTCTCATTTCTTGGACAATGGAAAATTGCGGTCGATTTGTTAAATTACCTGTACATAATACTTTTCCAGATACCAACTGAGCTGAGAGAATACAGGTACACACAAGGTCGAATCCAAAATGCATCTAGGGCTTGGTTTCATGTTTCAACCTTTTCCACCCTTTAAACAGAACTCAAAGACAACAATCTAGCCTGTAAACCGCTTTAAACAGTCAACCATAAACGTCAACGATACGTTATCCGGGGTCAAGACGTTGAACATTTATGCGACCTTACTCCGAAGGTGTCGAGTGCACATTACACTTTTTTGATGTCGTTATCGCTGATTTAGCACTCTACCTTCTACTGATGAGATTGCTTCTAGGCAAAGATGTCATCGTTAAACTTTTCAAAGTCATCTCAACGCTGATAAAAGATGTCCTTGCAAGAGTTGGCTTAGGACCACTAGGATCTAAATCTTGAGTCCAGGGCCATACCGCTGGCAGGGAGCCAAATTGACCCGAGGCTCGGGATTGATAAGCACCAACGGACCGACCAGGACCAAGGAGGCGGTGTTCGCACACAGATTACATTGCATTGTGGTGGCGTTATTTTCAATTTGGCGGTAAAAGCGGCAGAAATCAGCAGATTTTGACTGAACATTCCGTAAAAGTTAGGCCGTTTCTTTTCCCTTTCACTATAGGTAAATATTTGATACATTATGAACGTGTAGCAGTATTTTTCGTGCGTATTTGTCACGTATTATATCATTCTCAAGGACAAACGCAAGCACTGTATTTTAGCATGTAATTTGAGACCGGTTTTCGAGCAGATGAAATTCGTTGTACGTCGTGGTTTGAAGCCTTTCAATGATTTGTATGGCCACTTTTATCCTTCTTCAACAGCTCTGACCAAACGCGCTCAAACGCACTCCGACGGTACAAATGTTTTATGCATTTTAAGTAATAGTGTTTGAGACCCTTTTATAGAACCATAATTAGTCCCCTCTACTAACTATGATAGAACGAAAAGGCCTATTGTTGCGTTTAGTGTGTTGCGTTACATAGCGTTACGCCAGGACATTTATTGTATGTATTCAATCGTGTTGTAAATCTACTTTCCCAAGAAACCTAAATTCATGATAGTCACCGCTCCTTTAAAGTCCAAGCGGTGCGTAGGTAGGGCATCAACTAGATTCCTTCGTCCGTTTCTTAGGTTTTCCGAAAATTGCGAAGTTTGCTCTGAGCTGATGTGCAACTGATCCTCAGTTTAAACAAGCTAGTCCTCCTGTAGGCAGATTTGAAACGCCTCTTTTCCTCTTCTTTCCCCAGGAGTCCAATATCCTAATGCTTGGGCCAGTTTGAAAAGCTCATTGTTGAAATCTTTCATGGTCATTATTGCAAGATTATTAGGGAGACAGCGTGCGTTCAGGCTTTGTAGCTTCCCCAGATCATGCATAGTCATTCGTCAATATTCTGATCCATAATGAAGTAAAGAGATCAGTCAGTACAACTTGGATCCTTATCCTTATCCTTAGTTTCCTGTGTCTTCATTGTTTAGAGACAGTACCCGGTCGATCACGATGTTGAGGAACAACGCCAACGAAGCAACCCTGTCTAACCTGTCGGAAACCGGACCAGTTAACATGGAAGCTCAGGTCAGAGCATCCCGCTGCGTAACTTTAGCCAGGAAAGAAAATACTTTATGTCACGGACTATATGTCTGAAGAATATCATGTAAGCTTCCTTTGTGCATGTCACTAAATGCTTTCCGGACTACCGATTTCCGTACAACAGGAGCTTTCATGTGTTTTCGGCATTGGCTGACAAATTCCATACTCGCACCTTTGATAATTTTATTAGGTTTTCACGCCAAATGATTGTAAATCACACAGTGGATTAAACAACAGTCTTTGTTTTCGAGACGTTCGGTATCGCTGTCAACCGATTTTGTGCTGCCTACGTGCAGATGGGTCGGTGAACCCTCCACGGCTTATATTGATAGGGATGTGGCCCAGAGTCTCGTAAAGTTTCTGAAAAGTCCACATCGCTGTCATATAAGTTTATGGCATTCGAGTCACTCTCTTCTGAAAAAACATCGTCCTCACATGAGCTGTGAAATGTTCAGCAGGCAACCGTGGACGATACTCCTACTCTTGTACGTTGGATCAGCGATGATCTGATCGGCCCAAAATAACGAATATGAAATATAAATATAGAGGCAAGACCGATAGATAAGTATCTACTTATCTACGTTGTATCGGTCTTGCCTCT